TTCCAAACAAGCCTTCCTTTAAAGAGACTAAGTGTCTCATTTACCTTCCCAAAAAATCAACCCAATTCAACTCGTTCACAAAAGACACTGATAATGAAGCATAACGAAGCAGAAAATGGGGGAAACGAAGCGGTTCTCATGAGATGACGGGTCGGGTCGGGTCGTCACAAATGTATATATAATTTATGTATTATATGTGTCTTTTTTTAAATAGTTACAATTCTTTTTTTTTCTTTAAATTCCCTCCCAATTTATATGTGTATAATTATGTGTAATAAATGTATAATCTATGTATATGGCTAGAAAAAGTAAACAATGAATATGACCAGCTATTTATATAAAGGTCCCTAAAAAAAAAGAGAAAATTTTATCTCCTATAGCAAATGTATACACAATATTTATTATAAATCAAAATTATTTTAAAATATTATTTTCTATAGCTACCTTTTATATTTTATAGCAAAATAAGTACTATGGTATATACTACCATTGAGGCATGAAATACGCCATTTATGTTTTCCCCTCTCTTTCTTTAAATTAACACACGATTCTCTTCTAAAATTTTTGCTTCTCTCTCTCTCTCTCTCTCTCTCTCTCTCTCTCTCACTCTCTCTCTCTCCTAATAGGCCGAATCATAGATACATGAAAGAGAAACAAACCATGAAAGAAAGCCTCAAAATCAGAAACATGAAAGTAAACCTATAATCAAAAAAGGAAGCGGAGATATCTTGAGCGACGGAGAGATTCATGAAGAGAAAGAGGGATACTTAGCGCGGTAAGTAAGAGAGAACAGAGGAAGAAGCGGTCAAATTGGAATCTTTATAAATTGTAATGGAAGAGGTAGTGAAGCGATACAAGGAGTCTTGGCCGAAAAACGCCATCTTCGACAAACTTTCTTCTATTATTTGCTATTTAATCACATACAATGATACAAATATATTGTATTCTGTACAAATTCACTCAAACACATTGTATTTTTGTATAAATATAGTTTTTGGCCTGTGTTTATGTATTTCGAATGTTTGTATTTTTTTTAATACAGTTGAATACACCTGTATTCATACATACTGTACATACAGTATGCATGAATACAAGATATAAATATTAAAATACACTGAATACAAATATTAAAATAGAACGTAATACAAATAGTGAATATATTTAATTTTAAAATATAGTAAAATACAATAAAATACACTGAAGACAAATAGAAATATTGTGAATACAACCAATGAAATGTACTGAATACAACAGTAATAATATGTATTAGGAATAACTAAAATACTGTTATTACAAATACATTTGAATACACTGTATATAAAATAAAGAATACAGTAAATACAAACATTGAATCTAATGAACGCAATGATAAATAAAATTTTGAAGCACACTAAATACAAAAGTTATATACAACTGAAAAATCATTCTAATTAATTGGGTTGATAATGGAGCATGTTAGAATTGATTTTGTTGAGTTATATTAGGAGTGTATCACGCTAATTGATATTGTTTCCGTTATTAGACATCTGGACATACTATTTTAAGGTGATTGCCGTTACTGTATTCATGAATACATGGCACAAATACATATGAATACATGCGCATACAGTTGCACTGCCCTCATTTTAGGCGCTTTTTGCTGCTGTATTCATGAATACAACAGCGCGAATACATGTGAATACATGCGCATACAATTGGACTGCCCTGATTTTAGGTTGTTTTTGCTGCTGTATTCATGAATACATGGCGCGAATACACGTGAATACATGCGCGTACAACTGGACTGCCCTAATTTTTAGGCGCTTTTTGCTGCTGTATTCCAGTGTGAATACAGCGAATACACTACCCTTACAGCTGAATAGTAGGTATAGGAAGTAATTATGTATATGGTAACTATAAGAAGTTAATAGCCACTAAACAATAGTGGTTTCCGAAAATTACTCAAAAAATAATTGGAGAGGGCAACCAGGTCCGTTCCCGGGCTAATTCAGAAAAAGTCAGGCCCACTTTGAACCGGTTAGGCCAGGTTGTCTGGGCCAACCTAATTCGGCCCACCCGATCCAATTCGCAAGTTTAGCAGCACACTACTCCCTTTGTGGAACGATGCCGTTGGGGAAGCAGAGCTCAAAGTCATAAAATTGGAAGACACTAGGAGGAGGATGTAATGATGGTGATGCAGAAGCTAACGAGAAAATGGAGAAATTCTCGACGAGAATCTCATTACGACGAGGACGATAAATTTTCATTGCCTACTCGCGACGATGGTCGTCCCATTGATACCCAAGGTCATCATCCATGGCTTCTTTCTAATCATTGTTGTAAAACTCCTCAATATTACTAATATTTAGGGTTTTGAATTTGCAGAACAAGAGGAGTTAATTCGATCTCTCGAGAAAGTTCAAACTCAGCAATCTCTTCTCTGGAGGGCACGTGAAATTACTTTTCAAATTTGGTACCATTTGCTTGTTAGCTTGTGTTATTTATGTGTGTTCTTGTCATGCAGGGTGTGTTCTCGGGGCTACTTTTTTGTTATGTGGCTTTTCTAATATACTCAATCTATCAACAGACATATTATCCCTGGGAATTGGTACTCCTCTGCTCCTTGTATAAATTTATTTTGACCTTGTATCTTGTTAATTGTATGCATTACGCAAGAAGATGCAAACAATTACCATTACTGGTTGAAAGTAGCAAATACCAAGTGGAATAGTCAATATGCTCACAAGCTGGCGGAGCCAAGATTTTAATAAGGGATTAAAAAAATGCTAACTTGCACGGTAAGTGAATACATTTAACTACAAGGGGATTCAACAATTCACATACATACAGAAAAGTTTGTTTTTACCCCCGAGGAAGGGCATTCAATTGAACCCCCTTTAACACACTTCGCCACTGGCGTACCCTTATTAAAAAGAAGTAAACAAAATCATTTGTTGGTCCCAACACAAAGAAAAGAAGTAAGTTTTTTTAATCGTGTAGCTTCTTACAATAACCTTTAGGACACCAAAGTTTATTTTTTACATTCATCATCTATCTCATGCACATCTGTGAGGATATTCCACGGCTCTTGTTAAGGCAGGTTGTTGAAAGTAAAATTGGGGAGGGTGGACAAGCTTGTGATCATCTTTAGGGTTAAAAAAAATTTACATTGCGATGTATTTTTAAATTTGGATTTTGGATTGGGAAATCATTTTCTGGTTTAAATGCAGTGTTTGGTTGGGCAGTTGACTTAAGATAATTATATAAAGTGGATTCTAGGGTATCGTGTTTCAGTGACATTTTCAACATTAAAGTTCGAAAAAATGTATAAATGCCGGTTGAAGGAAGTGATATGTTGTAACCAAACGTTATAAAATGATTTTATTAAGGAATATATTAACTGATAAACATTTACTGTCATACTAAACAAGGATCATTCTTTGGTGACATTTAAGATGATTTGAATAGGAGTGCTCATGAGTTCCCTATGACAGAGGCATGAATTATAACAGTTCCTCGTCTTTACCAATCATTTGTATGGCCATCCATGTAGCTTGTGCCCTGAGATCAAGCATGCAGAGCTAGATTTATGTGAGCAACTAAATTATGCTTAAGCCTTAAAGAACTGGCACTTATTCTCTCTGAGGGAAAGTGAGGTTTCCCTTGAGCTCATCTAAGTTCTGCCAGTAGGATTTGCTAGCAAAGAATTCCTGAGAAAAGATTGAGGTGTTATCCTTTCATTCTTGTATGACACAAAGTGGAGTTCAGAATGATGAGAGGAGAAATAGTATTACTTTGAAGTTTGAACGTCTGTACACCCTAACAATTTTTTTTTTTTTTTGTTTTTTCGATAAGGTTCTGCACCTTCATTGAATCCAGTTACTAGACCTTTCACATTGGATCATTGATTATGGTCATTGGGCTAAAGTAACAAGTCTTCTTTTAACTTTTCAACTCTCAATAGAAGCTCTGTTAGCTTACTCAGTTCCCTCCATTGTCACCTCTCAAACTACCCCTGGAGAAAAGGTAAGGAAGGACCTCAGGACAGGAAACAGAGGACTGAAACTACAAATCTAGCGTTATAATAAAGTAGGAATCCTTCATGTTCAAGTAGTTAAGGAATCTGAATGCAGCCATCCAAGCAAGAGTACAGTCACTAGAAACGTAAAAAGAACCTAAGGTGGAAATCTCTGCCAACTCAACACAAAAAAGGATCATCTTTAGGACAAGAGCTGTTGGTAAATCAGTTTTATCTGTATGGCAAAATTTGACTGATGAATAAGACACACGTGCAATGAGAAAGAAGAGTATCATCTGAAAGAAAAAATGGTGTAGATAACTTTTGTAAAGTGCACCATTTGATGAACTTACTGTTCTCCATATCATCTATTTCATGAAAAGAGAGCAGTAAAAACTACAATTTTGGTGTTCCATATTGTTAACATCAATTTTACGTTAATGACAAGGTTTAAGTGTTAAATATTCATGGAAATTTGAGGATGGCATCTGATAATCGAGGATGTCTTAAATCAAAGAAGCTGAAACATGGATTATTTATAGTAAACAATTGTCGTTAATATGGTTCTTCTCTTATTTCTTTGATATTGGAATTTCTAATTTGATATGATTCTTTCTCTTATTCTGATATTGGATTTTCTTGGGACACCCTGCACAAGAGTTATCTGAATATTGGTCACACTGGCACCGAGCAAACTTTTAGGAAGAGAAGTGAATGTTAGATAGTTGGATAAGCTTATGCAGGAAAGTTTCGAGTTATATATGCTCTATAAGCATCAATGATATGTTGATGCTTTTGATACTTCCTTAAAGCTAATGTAAAGTCTGTAAAAGACATTCACTTTTTACTGTAAAGACAAGGCTAATGTGACGGCAGTATTTACTTTCCACAGAAGAGGTGATCGTAAATTCTAAGTAGAGTACAAATTATGTGAAATATCTACTATACTATCTTCCTACTTAATGTCTGCTACTGATTTCAGTATTTTAATATGGTTAACAGCGATATCATGCTTATTTCATGTATGAAGTTGACTCATGGACCATCATTGCTGCAGGTTTGTCCCTTTTACTTCTTAACTCTTTTCTTTGGTATTGCAGCTTATTCCGTGCTTAAAAAAGCTCTCTTAACGCAGCACCTTTCTGGTCATGGTCTATTACTTCCAGTTTTCTTAAAATGTTTGATTCCTTTCTTTCTAGGAAGACAAGTCTTATGATGCATTGGGCTTTATTATGCCAATGGTAAAATTTTGAGGATTGTTGGTGGATACAACATGATGTGGCCCATAGTAAAGGTTGGCTACAATGGACACATAGAAACCCTTTGTGTTATTGTCATCTCATAGCGTATTTGCCTACAAACTCCCAGGTTCAGTTAAATCACTTGAGTAATTTTTGGGAAGATGATACACTCCCTCCTTTTCAGTTTATGACTCTCTTTATATTTTGGGACTTCCCAAAACGTTTGACATCGTTTCATTTTTATAGAACAATCACAACTTTCAAGAATTTAAACATTAAATTAATCAACTTGTAGACTTTGATATGATATTTCCTCTATCAAACTGACTTTTCAACAATTAGTTTAATATTTTTATTGTACCATCACAAATGTGATATATGAGTCAAACAAAATCTTAAGATCTGTGATTAGCTAAATACTGTCTTATAAAATGAAACGGAGGGAGCAAGTATTCAGTCACTATGTTGGTTACTATAATTCTTTAGGCTAAGGTGGAGAATAAATGCAAATGAGCGTTGTTATAAGCTTGCTCAACAAGTAATGTATCTCTTAGGCTGTTATAAATCCTTCCATCCTTTGTAGGGGCTCACAAGCGTTGAAGAATTTCTGGGACTGCTGGAAACTTCTATTGAGCATCTCTTACTATCTGAAAGTAGATAAAGGAGAAAAAAAGATAATCAATAAAGGAGGGGATTGACTTATTTTGTACCACAAATAAGTTACTGGTAAATGTTAGAATTACTTCTTGGTTTGGGGCAAAAAGCATTTAAGCAAGCTAGCATTTGGTAATTTTCTACAATTGAAAGTCAGTTGTTCCGAGTTCATAGAGAGCATGTACTAGATGTCTTCTCTGATGATTATATTGGTAATGATCTTTATGGAATAATTAATTTCAGTCTTGAATTTGCTGGAAATCATGTGCTATCATGAATCAGATGAGAAACAGTTGTTTTATACTTTATGTCCTAATTGTTGGCATTCGCTTGAAAAATTCTCAGATTGGGCAGCTATTTTGACGTGCTTAATGACCATAAAGGGCTTACTGCATGAATCAAAATATCATAGGAGGTGGCTATGGTCTTCGTGCTGCATTGGCATGATTGTAGCAGTGTTTTGGTTGCATCACATGCTAAGGTGAGCTTCTTAGCACAGCAAGGTTTTATTTTACTTCTAACTATATTCAACAGCCACTTTTGGGATTTTAAACTACCTAAACAACTGAAACTGAAGGAGTAACCAAGTAGAGGCTTTAATGCCTATTGGCACCTCCGTTAATTGGAGGGTATATTTGATCAATAGTAGCACAGTAGGGGTTCTTTTGAGCCAATAGTATAACGGAAGGTAATTTTAAACAATATTCGATAGTAGAGGGGTGTTTTTACCCTTTTCCTTATATACTATCACCTTTGGCACATCCATGTACTAAAGCGATCAACGCCTTTATTCAGCTGCCCTCTCTCCTTTCTCATACATGTATACACCTATGTGCATACGCGTGTCTTTGCTTGCATTCATCACTTTGGACTCTTAGGCCCTATAAAGCTGTTGGTTTGACCTACATTTTGCATGTCTTTTGCAGGTTGGCAAAATTTAGATGGGATATTTTATGGCTACCAGCAGGGCCCCTTAGGTAAGCCTGCTTTTGACTGCTTCCACATTCTTAATTATGCCTTCTGCTGAAAAGCTATCATCAACTTTGAAATTGCAGTGGAGCTGGAATCTGCATTTACGTAGACCATTTACTAAATGTGTCATCTGAAGAAGTACGGAAACTTAGAGGATATATGTATGCATATAAAGCCAGGTAAGAGTTTAGAGGATGTATTAATGTGCCCTTAAAGCCAGTTAAGAGTGTCGCCCTAATCGATTTTTAGCACTCAACTAGTTCCATTATAGATTTTCCCTCTTCTTTTTGTCTGGTGTACGATGACTATGAGATGTACTGTAAAGTTTTGGAGAGTTTGTCTGATAGGAAAGGGCAGAAATTAATGGCAGAAGCTCTTTTATTCCATCATTCCATTACCCTCAATGGGAATCCTCTGTTCTTGATATATGGCACTGTAAATACTTTGTTCCCCCTGCGAATTGTGGCTGTTTGAATATGCTTATGAATTCGTGTAAATGTTTGATTTGCTTACGCACGTTATTATGCTTGGCTTTTTAATGTTAATTGTCTGTGATTCAGATTAGAGCAACAAAAGCAAATATATTTCCCAAGTTTCACACGCTTACCTTTGTCTACAAATTGTTGACGCAACAAGAGATCTAGGAGGATTGTCCCAGCAGCGATATTGCTGGCCTGTTCTCTCTATTTTGTAAAAGCGGTTAGTTTGTACTTTATAGGAATAATGAATCCAACAGAAATAAACTTAGTGTAATCCCACAAGTGTGGTCTGAGGAGGATAGTGTTTGCGTAGACCTTACTTCTACTTTGTGAATATAGAGAGGTTGGGGAGGGTCGTGTATACATAGACTTTATCCCTACCTCGTAAAGATAGAAAAGTTGTTTCTGATATACAATCGGAAGCAGGAATAATAAATCCTACCATAGAACTTTGCATAAACTAAAACACGGTTTGCTACTGGATTTGACGAAGGCTAAGGTCAATTTTCTTAACATATATTAGAGTCAGACTCATTCTTATTCTTGATTTGTTTAATATTGGTCTCTGATGTTATTTATCCACCTTCCAAGTGTTTAGGTATGGACATAATTGTGTCGCATTGATTGAAGAAATGTTGTATTAACTCCTCTTCATCTCATGAACTAGCTTTTAAGGTTGAGCTAGGTTAAAGACTTATTTTCTTATATTATCCTCGATCTCATGCGAATCTAGTTTTAAAATTTAATAAATTGGTATAAAATACTACTACTACATTTACTAACTATTAAACAAACAAGAATACAGACTTAGTGTGTGTCTTTGTGTATATTTTCAAAAATATTCAGTTATAAAGGTATAAATCAAGTCACTACAACAAATTTCGCCTACGGCCACCAGAAACGCATTGCTAAAGATATCTTCAGGCATGCTTTATTTGTGTGGCCTTTATTACAAGTTTTTGGCAACAGTCACGAGCAGAGGCGGATCTATGTGTAAGGGATGGGGTGGTACGCCACCACAAGCTCTGGCCGAGACTATGCAATAGTATGTATGCATGCATATATGTGGTTCATTTAAGGCAACTACAATTACAGGAAGATCCTTTTTTCTTCTTTCTCTTTCTTTAATTGCTCTTTTTTGTTTATAGTAGTTTCTATTGACTTTTTCTTTGATCTTATTTCTTTAGTTTGAAATTTCTTTTTCTCCTTTCGTTAAACATTTAACAGAAAATATATAATAAAAAAATATTTCACAAATCTATTTTAAAAAATCCCTATTGTTGCACTTTCCTAATTCCTCCGTGATTTATCAATAAATAATGAAAAATTAATTGTTTTCTCCAGGACCACAACTCTGGTAATCTATCTGCAGAAGCCAAAAAAAAAAATTAGAATAAGTTATTGTTCTAATCAATGACGAAAGCTTATTTTGTTATCAAATTGCTCTAAAGTAGGACAATTATATATAATATCGAGCTAGTTAATTTTCATAAGAAATATAAATTGAAAAATGTCTGCAATATTACTTCTGTTTTAATGTTTAGAGTGCTTATTAGTATAAGTTTTTGCCTTAAGTATCTAATATAAAGTGATAACGAGTCGTTTTCTTGTACAAAATGCATAATCCAGTTGAATTTTTTATCTTTTTTTTTTCTCAGGTTATCATAATTATAACGTAATCTTTTTGCTCGATCGGTTTGCTTATATTAAGACGAATAACCCAAATCGAAACCCGAATAGACCAAACCAATTAAATTTATACCCTTTTAGATAATATAAATTGTAACATGACTACGTGGCACCCGGAGCCTCTATATCCTGGATCCGCCTCTGGTCACAAGAACCCAAAATATAGTGAGCTAAAACATGTATCAGCCTCTTTAGGCCCAAGGCAACTTTATGTTGGACTATATACATGACACAGCAAATATTTATACTGTATTTATCATTCATAACTATACTTTTCATAAAAATACCATTCATAGCTATATTTGAGTTTTGTAGCAAAAAAAAATCACCTATTGAAACAAAAGATCAATAGTTTTGAACTGTGACAAAGAGCACAAGCTCTCGTAGCTCAGTTGGTTATAGCACCCGCTTAGTAAGCAGAGGTTTTGAGTTCGATTCTCAATAAGAGTATTTTATTTTCTGTATTTCTGTATTTTACCTTGGTTGTACAGGTTGTATCCTCTGTATACACCCGTATTTTGCCTTGTGCGAACGAATACAATTGATACGTGTTGTATTCGTTATGCGAACTAATATAATTGTGCGAACGAATATAGTTGATTCATCTTGTATCCGTTGCACGAACGAATACAACTGACACATTTTGTATTCATTGAGCGTCTTAATACAAGTGATACAATTTGTCACGACCCAAATTAGGAGCGTGACCGGTGCTTAGGAGCAAGTGCTCCCAATTAAGCCTTATCGGTAATTTACAAAAAAAACGTACAGAGTTTCCCCTATTTTTGGACTATCCAAAAAAATTCTGTCTCATCAACAAATAATTCCTTACATCAATGAGGATGTTTGGTTTGGATTTCCGAGGGCTCGGATGAGTTTCAGACATATTATGGAATGATTCGATTGAAAAATAGGAAAAATCTGGTGTCTGGTGTCGCAAATGCGAACACCAGGCTCGCAATTGCGATGATGACAGGCGAGGGGTGAATGTCGAAAATGCGACCTCATCTTCGCATTTGCGAAACCAGCAGGATTTGGTGATGTTGGCAATTGCGGATAATTTGTTCGCATTGCGATATATCCCAGTTCGCAATTGCGAAGACTCCATCGCAATTGCGATATAAGCTAAGTCTGTCAGAGTTCGCAAATGTGATTTCTGGTTCGCAATTGTGAGAGTTCGCAAATGCGAACCCTGTTTCGCAAATGCAACATCTGCAACTGGTTAAAGGGTTGGGAGATAGGATTTTTGAACTCATCCTCATATTGTTTAACCTTAGACTCGGTAGGAAACGATTTGGAGAGAGGATTTTCACCTACAAACCTTGGGTAGGTGATTATAATCTATTTCTAATCATATCCCATCAACATATATTAGATTTTAACATCAATATCATGTGAATCAAAGTAGAAATTGGTAAAACTTTGTCAAGTTTTTGAAAAAAATCTGAGAAATTGAGTTTTAAGAGTATATTTGGACTCGGATTTTGAAACTAATCACATATATAAACTAGTGGGGTCATGGGTAGACGGAATCTACCATTGGATCTGGGTTTTGACCAGGCGGACCCCGAGTTGACTTTTGTTGAAAAGTGTAAAGATCTTAACTTTGTATATTGCAATTGAATTCCCTAGCATTGTTTGATAATATTGAGTCAATTTTGGTTAGATTTGAGCCGTGTGGAGGCAGATTGTAAGGGAAAAACTATTTTCGAGTATTGAATTGGCCTAATTGAGGGAAGTGTCTTGATTAACTTCGTGTGGGAAACTATCCCTTAGTATTGGTATTGTTGGTTAAATTGTGCTAAGTGAAATTCGTGTACGGAAGGTGACGAGTGAAATGCCATATTATGTTCTACATTCTCGTCGTCAAATTATCCTTAATTGTGTTAAACTATCTTTAAATGCCTTAGTTGACTTGTTTAGTATTTGTTCTACATCCTACTTCTAAATTGCTCACATGCTTTAGTTGAACATGTTGTCTCCTTTATTGTTACATGTTATTTCTTTACTATTAATTATTATTGTTGAGGTTATTGTTCGTGTTATATCCATATTGATTTTCGTTACTTGAAGTAATTGTTCATGTTATCCCCTTTATTTGTTGATTTTCATTATTTGAGACTCATTGTTGAATATTATCTCCTTTACTGTGAATTTAGTCTTATCTAATATTGTGGTTATACGTTATTTCTCTCATTGTTGAGTTAATTGGTGTTGAAGTTGTGAAAGTCGTTAATATGTTGAGGCGATGTTGGTTATTGTTGAAACATCTATCTTATTGAGCATTTCTCATCCATTTTTGTTGTTGATATTCCCGTGTACGTTGTGGTGGAGCCATGGGCTATTGTTGTGGAAATATTGATATTATTTTTGTTGGCAAGTTGTGATATATGGCACTTGTGGTGCGATGTTATTGTGATATGATATTGACACGCATGCGGCGGTATAAGGATTGGGTTGATGTGCATGCTGCGGTATAAAGTGGGACTTATGTGTGTTGTTTGTAGGGGAACTACGTGAAGTCATGCGGCGTCATAAGGTGGGATAAAGTGCGTGTATCTATTTTGGAAAAACTATTTTCAAAACCTATTTTCAAATGTAAGACTCACACGACTGTATAAGGAAAAATTATGATTGAGATTGAAAAAAGTGAATATGAGGCGGTACCTCGGTTGTGATTATTGATTATACGAAGCAGTACCTCGATTTTGATTTCATTATGCACGAGGCAGTACCTCGTTGTGATTCTTGCTATTCATTTCATGTTTCAAGGTATTTTGGGTGGAAAATATATCTTGTTGTGTTGTTCCTTATTTGTTCTATCGGTTATGTCCGTACATGATTATTGTGTCACTTTAGTTGCTTCTTTTATGTTATGTCTTTTGTCGATTTCCTGTACTAGTTCTTGAAATTATCTTTCAGTGTTAGTTGTTTCCTCACTTTCCATCACATATCCGTATTGCAAATTTATACTGTCTATTTTATATCCTAATAGGTGTTTTGACCTGGCCTCGTCACTACTCTACTGAGGTTAGGTTCGATACTTAGTGGGTACCATTGTGGTGTACTCATACTATGCGTCTGCACATCTTTTTGTGCAGATCCAGGTACGTCTACTCGTGCCGGTCGTTAGAGGATTGTTGTGGCTGCTTCTTAGGAGACTTCAAGGTATACCTGCTCCAAATTCGCAGGCCTTGGAGTCCCTTCCCTATTTTACTTCCTGCTGCATTTTCTTTCGGACAATGATATAGTAGTACTCTAGTTGTATTCTGTAGAGCGTATGAATCAGTTCCACCGGTATTGGTGTGTATTGTGAGATTTTGTTTTTGGAAGGCTTTTATCTA